ATTATTATTATTATTATTATTATTATTATTATTATTATTATTATTTCTAATAAAAACGTTTAATCCACTTGGAGGTCAAATAAGTTATGAATTTTAAATCACCATTCTATCTAAGTAAAAGAATAAAATTCTATATCACATTACATTTAGAAGCAAATTCACATACTATATGTGTGTGTGTATATATAAATTATAATTACATGTTAATTATATCTAGAAATGAAATTTTCCGAAAGTAATTAATAACTTGAAATTAAATGAGAAAAAGTTTGTCTTTGTGTATAATCACGCCACATATTTCACTCAAGAGTAACAAGATGTTTTTATCTATAAAAATATAAATCATAAGTCCAAGGATGTCATACCTTAAATTGAAAAGAACTCTTTACACCATCGGCCAAAAACCACTCTACTTTATTGTAGATAGCTTTAACGAGAACATACAGGAGCGTAAAGAATGAGGTTCTGGAGATAAAAGGAAGATCTGATTGTTGAGGTCATAAGATAGACATAAAACGTGTGTCATTTTGGGAATGTCAATTAACCATTAATGTTAAAACAATATTCTAGGAAATGATCCACGATGTTTCTTAAATTACTTGAATTGTTATTATAGTAGGATAGAACAAAATTTCTAATACTAAGGCAAAAATTTGCTCCTACAAAATAAAATGTGAATGCCTTCCAATTAAAGAGGAATTCAATAACATCTTCGAAACTTTTTAAATTGTTTTATTGGTAGGCATATTTTCATTAAAGTAATTAATTAATCCAGCAGGCAATGTATTTGTACTTCCGTCCGATGTTTGGGCCGATGAAGATGTAGTAGACAAAGTATTACTAGATTAACATGAACCTAGCATTTGAATAATACCTATATATATTAATGTCTTGAAATAAATTAAATATTTCAGCATTATCTTCTTCAAGTTCAGCAGAAGAGTAAGCGCAAAAGGTACTCGACTAATATTTGTACCCATACGTTCAACATATAATTCATATATTTCACTTAAATTTTATTTTAAATTTCTATATGGGATAGGTGTACTAAAAGTTAAAGCTTTAGAAATTTGATCAATTATATATTTAGTTCATGATAAATTATATCGGGTGTCCATAATGCATGTTAAAGGAAATAATATAAGTAAGTCTTCCCAATATTTTCTAAACTTCAATTCCATAGAGTATGTAATTACATAAAATGGGGTCATTTTTGTATTTATGGAACGTCCTTGTAATTATATAAAGACGTTCTAGCACTATACAATTAGTGGGATGATAAACTCCAGATAAAATATTTGTACTATCATAAAAATTTGTCAAAAATCTTTTAACTTTTAAAGCTAAAAGTCAATCGGATTCATTCAGAATAGTGTAATATGCCTCTTATTGTAAAACTCAATTTATTAAATGTTCAAAACCTTCACTTGACTTTAATAATAAGTGAAGTTTCGTCTATGACCTACGTCACTAACAAATATTTTAACATTTGTCACCTCAAATTCGGCACAAAATTTCTCAAATGCTTGTTTTCCACTAAAGAAGATCGTGAAATATATTAGTGCATTCCAAATTTTTTGTATTTCATCTTTAATATGTTTCAAAGACATGAATGATTGTGATATATATTAGTTGATCGGCTTGTTTACCACCCCTAAATAAGGGCCACAAAACTTGGGTTAAGCATGTTTTTATGCAAGAAATGAATGATCTCAAAATTCCAATTGCAAACCCACAATCGACATTCAAAGACTGTGTGGATAAAAAATGAAGAAAATTTTTGAATATACGTGCAATATTATATTATTGAAAAATATGTGATTAAAAAGAAGAGAGAGAGA